GTCTCCAATTTTGTTTTAACTAGTAATGGAGTTTGGTTTTTGTTTTGTTTTAAGTCCGTACGGAAAATGTTAAATAAAGTGCTGTCATTTCGGCAAATACTGAATGATGCGGCCAAGTGGTTTGATTTCAACTTCGGCTCGAATTGAAATCGTTGATCAACTGGTTTAAGGACAGATTTATCCTAACAAGTCTATAAGCGGTGTTTGTGTTGTTCCTATTACCCAGGAGGCCATGATGCACGAGTACAGGGATCAATATATCGGCGATGATGCACAGAGCATGCGTGGTGTGTTAACTCTCAAGTACCCGTTGGAGCATGGGATTGTACTCAACTGGGATGATATGGAGTCGGTATGTTTTGTAACTCGTGAAACTGTTTAGGCTGAGGAAAAAGAAAGAATTTACAACGTTTAACGTGTGTTCAATGAGTATGAATGCCCTTGGAAGTTTGGAGAGGTGTAAGAGTTTCTTTCTTAGAGCGAGCGGAAATACCTTTCTACTGATGTGACTGGGGGTGATACCATTTGAACATGTCATTTTATGGAGCACCAACGTGCTTCCATCGAGCAGAATTAACCTACGGACTTGTACTATGGCGATCTATATGCTTGACTGTTGAATGAGCAATTGATATTTATGCAGTGCTTCTTTCTCGTCTTTTATGGTTTAGATTTGGACTTACACATACGACCAGCTCCGTGTTGAGTCCCAGGACTTCCCTGCCTTGTTGACAGAGGCACCCTTGAACCCAAAGTACAACAGAGAGCGCATGTTACAGATCATGTTCGAGACATTTGAGGTGCCTTGCCTGTACATAGCTGTACAAGCTGTGATGGCTTTGTATTCTACTGGACGAACCACAGGTAAACCCTAATCAAGATAGCAACTCTCCCTAATTATACCCATACATCCCCTTAATACAAGCTCTGAGAATTTAGCGGTGCATCAGTTACGTCGTCTAATTGATTACTTTCTTACTATCACCACTTCGCTTCGCAATGTCAGAGGAAATGGAATGTTGGTCGTTAGGTGATCAGAATAAACAAAGTCAGTCGGGCGGTCTTTACAGTCACTATTATTTTCACCTCTCTACAACGGTGACTGTGGCCATTAAAGTGCGTCCTAACTGCTAAAATAACCTCTCCTCAACGGCCAGTAAATCAAAAGACTGACAAACTGTGCCCCATTTTCCCATTCCCCATTTTTAGTGCAGTGCACTTTTGGGATGGATTAGATTGCTACCCGCTAAGTGTTAAGGCACTAACGTGTGAACTATAATGTTTATTGAATTAAAATGAAATGTCGAATCCACAGTAAAATTGAAAGCTGTGTTGACTATTCATTCTTGTAAGCTTTTTTTGCCTTGAATGAAAATTCACGCATGAATCTTGCACACTAAGATTATTAATTAATTAAGGTCTCTGTCCGTTCATAATTTGCAACGGGAAAAGCCCTAGCAATACAATACAAATTCGGCCTGAACTTGTATGACTGTACACTGTACTCTGCATTATCTGAGAGTGTCTCTCTAGTTATTGTTAAAGGTCACGAAACTTGATCCGTACCGAACGTCGACGTTGGTCTCTGCTCTGGGTTTCTGTTGTATTGATATACTTTGGATGTCTTATGTATTTATGTGCTACAATGAGCATTTTATTTTTTATATTAAAAATTAAAAATGTCATATTACACCCCTACTTTCCCATAACAGCCACCTCTCAACAAGGGTCACTTTCCTCTGCCCCTAAGGTGGCCGTTGTGGGACGTTCGTCTGTATCTGCGATAGTCAAGCGTGGTGTTAAATGTCAACTGCACTGTTTCAGTTCGGAGATAAGACACACAAAATAACATCAATTTTCTATGGTCACTTAGGCACCGTTTTCGACTGCGGTGATGGAGTAAGCCACACTGTTCCAGTGTACGAGGGATACTGGCTCCCTCACGCAACCCAGAGAATGAACCTGGCAGGAAGGGACCTCACCAAGTACATGATGAGGATCCTTATGGAGAGGGGCTACTCATTTACGACCTCGGCCGAGACAGAGATCATACGGGACATCAAGGAGAAGCTCTCTTACGTAGCGCTTGATTTTGATCGCGAACTGCGGGAGTCTGAGACTAGTGATAAGTGCGAGGAGTTGTATATGGTAGGTAACACGGTTTTTGTTTGTTTTTTCTGTATATGGCCTATTTTTTTAAGAGCAGGACTGAACGGAAGTAGACATGTTGTTATCGACAACTGTTTTATTTACTAGCTGACAGAGGCCTTTCTTGATGAACGTTAAAATGTTGTTATTTTCCAGCTCCCTGACGGTCAATCCATACGCGTGGCAAATGAACGATTCCGCTGCCCAGAGGTCTTATTCAATCCCAGCATGCTTGGCATGGACATTGTTGGAATACACGAATCCATCTACAACTGCATCAGGAAGTGTGACGTGGATATCAGAAAGGACTTGCTTGAAAATATCTTGTTATCAGGTGAGAACGCTCGTTTTTTTCTGGTTCTATCTGTTGCTCAGAAAACAAGTCAAGTGATCCCAAACCGTATTTTCCGTGCGCTATAGACAACGAGTAGTCCCTCTTTCGCTTTTTCCGTCGTGTGTAACGAGAAAGAAAACCGCGGGGGAAAATGGCCGCGCGAAATCCTCGTCCCCAGAATTTCGCGCGGCTACTTTTTCCTCGCGGTTTATTTAAGGTCTCGCTCGACGACCTAAGCGAAACAGGGACTACTCGTAGTCTAGGTGCGCTATCTCTTCGAAGTTTAGTTTGTTTTTTACTCTATTCTTGCAATGGAGATCGGCAGTGCGATTACTTTGGTGATTACTCTTACGACACACAGTATAGCTGTGCTGTACTAACACCAACGTTAATCTTTACAGGTGGAAGCACATTGTTACCTGGACTGGGTGAACGCCTTCACAAAGAGATAGCGACGCTCGTCAATCCACGTGACCCCGGCCGGGTCAGGGTCATAAGCCCGGATGACCGGAAGCATGCCGTATGGAGCGGAAGTGCTGTGCTCGCTGGACTGTCGACTTTCCCTCAGATGTGTATTTCTATGCAGGAATATGACGAAATGGGACCAGAAATTGTTCACAGAAAATGCTTCTAACATTATTGTAAATTTTACCAAAGACAAACTTAAGATTCAGTTAATGTTTATGACCGAAATATTGAGGTCATATTTATAAATCCATAGTTAGAGTAGAGTTTTTCAAGTGTATATTTTATTCAAGAACTGAACCATTTTATTCAAGGAAACTGAGTTTCTAAAGTAGAAAATATATTAGGCAATAAGCATTTATTTATAACAAGGAGGGCAGGGCAGAGTTCTGCTTGGCGAAGAAAAAGAACTCAACCCCGATAACTTTGGAGACTTTCCAAATATTTCCTACATTCTCGAAAAGATTGCCGGAAATCACTTGATTTCTTAATCACACCGGCTTTACCCTTGGGGTAAGAAGAAAATGAATACATGTTTCCGTGTAAATTTTACTGAGGGAATGGCTGGATGAAGCGAGTTATCACACAGTCATATCCATGTTTTTAAGTCTTACGTGAAATATCTCATTCAATACAAATCATATCCATTCACTTACCAAAGATACTGAGAACCACATAATAATCGAATTTTAATCTTTTAAGCCAAAATAGATGCATTTTATCGATACAATTTCAGATTCTTCCTTGTCAATGTTCTACCGCTTTTGTTGTCTTCTCGTTCGTGGGTAGAAACAACTAGAAACGAGGCTTTTAATTCCATACGTTTTGTAGTCTTTAGCCCAGGCAACCAATCAGACTGCTGGTAGCCGCTCTTTTGTCTTGGGGTCAGACGAGTGTTTATCCGGGAACGCGACGTGGCGGTATGGATTAGAGAGGGTTGGGGCGAGTCCTTTCTAGTGTGAAACGACTCGCCTCATGCTCCCCACCTGATTTAAAGACAAAAGCAGATTGCGAGCAGCCTAGCGACTAATCAAAACATGCCACATGTCATGGGTATTTAAGTCTTCATGGAATTGTAAAGGACATGGCGGACCAGCCATTAGTCTAGCTTGATAATCCATTCCTTGAGCTATTACACCTTTGTACTTCCCGTCGAATTATTTATTGCACCACATACCACAACACCTCTGTTCAAGGAGCGAGTTTCTTTTCCGACCAATAGTCGTAGACCTCGAAGACTTTCCGATGATTCTTATTATCCAATTGCAAACGAACCCGAACACTCAGGGGAACGACGACTGATGGTTTTCGAGGCGGACAAGTAAAGGTGTTTGATAATTTTCCACAAGGTATTAGAGGTCACTTATCGCATATTTGTTTCCTTCATTTAAAGTGGCATGCCTGTGAACTAGCTAGGTGTAGCTAAGCGCGTTGACCACTATAAACAACAACAACAACAACAACATAAAAGTTCGTGGATAAGAATTATAAGTTTTTCGCTCAGGTTGGTCTGCATATGGCAAAGGAACACAACTTGAAAACTTTTAAGTCCTCGCGAATTTTTCCTCCTGAGTTCCTCTCTGAACTATTTTTTCAGAGGGAATTTCTTCCAATCTCGTTCCCACTTGAAATTATATCTATTAATATAGAGATATTTATAAATATTTCAGTACAAAGTTTTGGAGGTAAAGAAGCGCTTGTCCCACGACCAGCTGAATATATTTCTGGTTCATGTCGTTTTAGGATATTTTATTCTTATTTGATGATATTTTATAAAAGTTCTGTTTTTTTCATTTTTTTAGCACGTATTTAACAACATTTATAGAGGTTTAATTTTTAAAGCAACTGCTTGCTTTTTATATTCTTAATATGTAACGAAATAAATATTTCGTTATTTATCCGAGCAAGAGTTAAAATGCTGTAGCGGCGTATTACTTTTAATTGATGTAATCAAACTTCGCCCATGTATTGCAATGGCGGAAGTTTCTCTGGCACATTTGTCGGCAGAATTTTCTTAACAGCTGATATTTGCTACTTCCCTTATCCTGTATACACACTCGCTAACGGCTCGTGTGTATACTAAGAAAATACAAGTGACAAGTGGGATATTCCATGGTATACCACGGGAGAGCGTTTGGTAACTATATTATACCACGCCATAGAAAATACAGTGGACAGCACAATCAATGCGACAAACGCGCGGCGCATGATGGGAAGGTTGGATGCAATACCGGGGACTATACAACGGCTTTCCTGTATTCTGATTGGCTGTATTTTCTTTAGCATGGTATAAAACTGAATAGTTTCTGGTAGCTTCTAGTTTGCGCGGTTGGCCTTTCTTCTCCAGTCATTTCGTGATGGCAATGGCGGCCAAAGGAATGGGAAGGAGATAAGAAAAGAAATTTATCCCCATTCTACTCCCAACCATTTTATTTTTCATTTTGCGAGGAAGATCGCCATTACTCGGGCAATGCATATAGAGAGAAGTGTTTTGTCTTTAAGCCTTCACAGATATTTAAACTGGACTTGGCATTTCGTGTTTTTGCTTTGTTTATTTTTATATTTATTCTCTTGTCAATACAAGCCAAGCTACACTCTTGTTATAAGAATACTGTTTTTCCGGCCGAGGCTGAATATCCGTATTTTTCTACCGATTTTAGGCTGAAAGTATTCTTACGACTATTCTTAGATCACAGCGTTTGCCATTTCTGTTTTCGAATCTATGTTGTGTCTGGACCGTGTTAAAGTAATTTTGGAGTCAGCCTGCAGGCTATAGAGCCAGATCATATGACACGCATAACTTCTTGCAAAAATGTTGTTAGCATCGAACATACGGCTATTGCTGTTTTTATTGTTTTCGGTTGGTTTTGCTGTTTAAGGTGGCCGAACACAGTTTTCGCGCGCGCTTTTGCTGATGCAATTGAGCGCGCGTACAGGGATTGCAAAAACAAACATGCCGTCAATAGACCGGTCATTTTATTTACTCAACACCCACACTATCTGTGCAATTTTTCTCTACTATTGAACGCAGTGCGGTATTGGTGGCTTTAGTCTTTTATTACAAAGATATGTTAGAAAAGGTAACGACGCAAAGAACCCAGCAACTCTCGGCTTTTTCTTTGTTACCGAAAGAAC